ATTCTAAAATTTAAGATTCTTTATTTTTTCTTTTTTGGAGACGGAGTCTCACTCTGTCATCCAGGCTGGAGTGCAGTGGCACAATCTCAACTCACTGCAACCTCCGCCTCCCAGTTTCAAGCGATTCTCCTGCCTCAGGCTCCGGAGTAGCTGGGATTACAGGTGCCCGCCACCATGCCTGGCTAATTTTTTGTATTTTTAGTAGAGACGAGGTTTCACCATGTTAGCCAGGATGGTCTCGATCTCCCGAGCTAGTGATCCGCCCGCTTCAGCCTCCCAAAGTGCTGGGATTACAGGCGTGAGCCACCACGCCCGGCCCAAATTTAAGATTCTTAATTCTTGTCCAGGATCGTGCCCACCATGTCAGGATGGGCATCACAGTCAGAAAAGTTATATATTGCAGAAATGGTTTTTTATAAGGAAACCTGCCATCTGGTTTTGAAAGCTCCACAAATATGAATATAAAAAATAATACAAAGGAAAGTCTAGGACCATATTTTCAGAGAGATATATATCCTGAAACACCTTGGAAAGCTTACATAATCTATACAGAGGCTAGTACATGGCTTATTTTTAAAAAATATCTGCTGGTGCAGATATGAAAGCCACTATCAGCACCAGTAAGGCTGTGGTGCCACAGTCTGGTGGTACACTGCTCCTTCTCGCTTCCTTAGACGTGATAAAGGCAAATCAACCACGACCGTTGTTCTTTGATCGTATTACTCTTTCCTCATGTGCTCCCTGCTTTTACTGTCTTGTCTTAACTTTCCTTCCCTTCCCTCCTCCTTCCCTTTGTTCATATTTACGCATTTATTTGATATTTTCTACTTACAAGGCATCTTTCACGTTATCTTGTTTTATTCTCAAGTGAAGTAAGTATCATCGCAACTTTTAAAAGTTAGAAAACTGAGATCTGAAGTGCTGCGTGACCTGTTCAGGACTTCGGAGTAAGGGGATGAACAAGAGCTTCATTTTAAATTTTCTGATTCTACACTACCATTTCTCCACGGTCGTAAGAGTCTGCTGTCAATCATTTTTCTTCCCCTTGCCTCTTCTTTCCTTCTTTCCATAGACTGTGCTGCATCATGCTTGCTCTCCACGAGTACTTGTGTCACCTACTTTGTCATTTTTCACCCCATTCGTCTGCCCCTCCCCTTGCTTATCCCTTCCCAAGGCTAATTCCCACTTCTCCTCTAGGTGTCAGTATGCATGTGCCTCACCAGGAGCCTTCCAGGAGCACAGGCTGGGTTCAGGAGGAGGCGCCTTGCCTGTGGCACCAACAGCAAATCATTTGATCATAGAAATGTGTAGGATGACATAAATAAGGAGGGTGCTAAAAAAATTCTCTCCATAGTTTGACAACAGAAAAATTCAGATGAGCCTGAATCTTTCTGTAAAGACAGAACACTATCTCCTTAAAATACCAGAATCCCTTCTACCTTACCCTGCCTGTAAAATGGCCTGAACAGCACAACCCATCTCCCTGTATTTGTGTTAAATAGATTATATACCTGTTTAAAATATTACAATTCCTTTCTTTTATCATGAAAGCAAAGAGATGCTGGCTATCATAGGTTTTTCACATCAGCAATTTCTATTTGAAACCTATTTCACTATTATGCCATTTTAATGAAATATATCAAACCTAGAGGCCGGAAGAGAAAATAGCAACCACGCATATACTCATTATCCAGTTTTATCAAACTATAACATTTTGTCATATTTAACTTTAGTTTTTAAAAAGTAAAACATTATAAATACATTTGAAACATGGTTTCCACCCCTCCCTAATGCCATTTCCCACTTCCTAGAAAAACATTACCTTGAAGTTGATGTACACTTTTTGAAAATATATCTATATAAAAAATATACGGGATTAGCTAGTGGTTTCTTATATATTACATGAACTATGCATTTGGCAATATGGCAGTCAAGATATTCTAACAAACCTTGCTAAACAGAGCAGGAGAGGCTTAATAAATTACAACAAGATTCTCTTTAAATACATATTTGAGTTCAGGCATAAGTAGGGGAAATCTGGAGTATGAAAAAATAGAGGTGAATCAAGAATAGTGAGTACTAAAGTCCCAGTTGGAAGAATGGTGACCATGAATCCTAACTAAAGCCAGAACTTTGTGCTACACTCTATTTCTCTACATCTTTGTCAACAATTCAAAATGTTAGATTGAAAAAATTACTTCCCATTTGAAAATGCTCCTGGTGGTTTTCTTTTGTTTTGCCCTGAATACTAATAAAGATAAGCATCTTTTCATATATTTATTGGTCATTCTATATATATCATTTGCCACCTTCATGTTCACCCATTTTTCTCTTAAGTTGCAATTTCTGTTTGCTTATATGGAGGAGTCCTTTATAAATGCCAAATGTGTATTTGACATACCATGGGACTCCTGTTAGAATGGCTACAATTAAAATGACTACCCTTATCAAGTGTTGCTGAAGATGTACAGCAACTGGAATTTTCATAGACCACTGGTGGGAATTGAGATGGTGCAACCACTTCAGGAAATAGTTTAGCAGTTTTGCTGTTTTTTTTAAGTTAAACATACACCCACTATTTGATCTAGTCATTCCCTCTTGGGTATTTACTCAAGAGAAGTAAAAACTTAGGACCCAGAAAGAATCATCCATGAATGTTCAGCGATGCTTTACTGGTAAGAGCAAAAAACTGGAAACTACCCAGATATCTATCAATGAGTGGATGCATAAACAAATCACGGAATTGAATACTTTATAAATGCCAAATATGTATTTGACATACCACGGGACTCCTGTTAGAATGGCTACAATGAAAATGACTAACCCTATCAAGTGTTGCTGAAGATGTACAGCAACTGGAATTTTCATAGACCACTGGTGGGAATTGAGATGGTGCAACCACTTCAGAAAATAGCTTAGCAGTTTTTTTGTGTTTTTTTTTTTCAAGTTAAACATATACCTACGTTTATGCGGAGTGAAAACTTAGGACCCAGACAGACTCATCCATGAATGATCACAGATGCTTTGCTGATAACAGCAAAAAAACTAGAAACTACCCAGATACCTACCAATGAATGTATGGATAAACAAATCGTGGAATGGAATACTGATTAACAATAAAAAGGAATCAACTATTGATATACAGTATGACATGGATGAATTTCAACATAATTATTTTAAGTAAAACAAGCCAGACAAAAAAGAGCACATATTCTAAGATTCCATTTATATAAACCTAAAAAATGCAAACTAATTAATGGCACCAGAAAGCAGATCACATGTGGCCTGGGGTGAGATGTGGTAAGCGCAGAAGGGAAGGACTGCCAATGAGCAGGAGGAAACTGCTGGGGACAATGAAGGTGTTCATCTATTGATTCTGCTGGTAGCTTCATGGCATGAACTTGCAAGACGTCAAAACTTGTAAGATTGTGCAAGTACGTTCATGTTCAGTTCATTGTATGTCAACTTATCAAAATGTATACTTTAGATATGTATAGCTTACTTTATGTTAATTATACCTCAACAAAACTGATTTTTAAAAAAGCTCACGAGAATAAGACAGTAAAGGAGAATCCCAACCACAGTAGGTATCTGTCTTCTCAGATAAGAAATATAAGTATTTCTTAAAGATAGTCACAATTAAGAAAATCCACCAACCTTCTCTTTATATCGTGCTTTAAAAAAACAAAATACATCTCAATTAAGTTAAAAATAGTTGGAGTGGGAAGGTGGCATTACTGAAAACAAGTATTTTTTGAAAAATAAAGGCAAGTGACTAAGTGAGGTCTACATTGTAACAATATCGTTCCTCCTGCAGGAAATAATATACTGTTAGTATTTTTGCTGTTGATAGTGGTAATCAGTATGGCAATATGTAAAGTTTTCCACTGGTTCATTCACATGGTTAAGAACCTAGCTCCACTGGGCCGGCGTGGTGGCTCACGCCTGTAATCCCAGCACTTTGGGAGGCCGACGTGGGCAGACCATGAGGTCAGGAGATCAAGACCATCCTGGCTAACACGGTGAAACCCCATCTCTATTAAAAATACAAAAATTAGCCAGGCGTGGTGGCGGGCGCCTGTAGTCCCAGCTACTCAGGCTGAGGCAGGAGACTGGCGTGAACGCAGGAAGCAGAGCTTGCAGTGAGCCGAGATCATGCCACTGCACTCCAGCCTGGGTGACAGAGCGAGACTCCGTCTCAAAAAACAAAAAAAACCTTGCTCCACTGATTACATCCTCATGTAATAACATAATAATATACTCCTAATCAGCCTGTATATTTTCACTCCATTGATGACATTGATCTCAATCCATTATCATTCTTAGCAAAGGTTATAAGCATTTTTCTTTCTCTAGCTAAAAGTTTCTGAGAGTCAATCTGAAGCCACAAGTGAAACATTTCATACCTGATCTCACTACAGTTTTCAGTCAAATCACAGTCAAAACTTTGTTTCATGCATGAAATTATTTAAAATATTGTATCAAATTACCTTCAGGCTATGTGCATAAAGTGTATATGAAATACAAATGAATTTCGTGTTCAGACTTAGCTCCCATCCCCAAGACATCTCATTATGTATACGCAAGAATTTCAGGCCAAGCGCAGTGGCTCACGCCTGTAATCCCAACACTGTGGGAGGCTGAGGTGGGCGGATGATGAGGCCAGGAGTTTGAGACCAGCTTGGCCAACATGGTAAAACCCTGTCTCTACTAAAAATACAAAAATTAGCCAAGTGTGGTGATGGGCGTAATCCCAGCTACTCAGAGGCTGAGACAGGAGAATTCCTTGAACCCGGGAGGTGGAGGTTGCAGTGAGCTGAGATTGCACCACTGCACTCCAGCCTGGGCGACAGAGCAAGACTCTGTCTCGAGGAAAAAAAAAAAAGAATTTCAAAATCTGAAAAAACAAAACAAAACAAAACAAAACAAAAACAAATCCAAAACACTTCTGTCCCAAGGATTTCAGATAAAAGACACCCAACCTGCGTTTGAGGACTTACCGTCTCCAAAAAGATGTGCCACGAGCCTGGTAAGCGTCTGCTTAAGATCAAACTCTACAAGCTTCACGGCCTCCATGGTGTGTGTCTCTTGTTTATGCGCAGAGCGAGAACTCTGTTCAAAGAGCTGCAGGTTTTCTCCATCCTTTATACCAGCAAATAACTGTAAACCAACAGGAAAGGATAAATAAAGAAAATATCCTGGCCCATCTGTATCAGATAACTTTAAAATTCTGCTAAGAATCTTTGACTTTAAAAAGTTATAATGTGGGTATAAGACTCATTGTGTCTTGTCAATAAATGTAATGAAATTAACATTCACTTGGTACAGCTCTGAAGAAAGCACTACACTACATGGTATGGAGGGTCTTTAAAGAATTAAGACATTCTTCTGATCTTTGCTAATCTGTTTTTCATTTGCATGAACTTATAGTCATTTCCTAGCAAGAGACATTATCCTCAATTCTAGTGGAAATACCAGTGAATCCCTTTCATACTCTAAAATTACATCCCTGACCATCCCACAGTGTCGAGGAAATAAATCCTGTAAGGTCCATGAAGGTAGAAAGCAAGCTGGAATTTGCTAGCCCTGTATCTCCAAAGCTCAAGGCAGAGCCTGAAACATGTTTCTGCTACTTACTATCCATGTAAACTTAGGCAAGTGATATGGTAGCCAAACCTCAGGGAATCATCTACAAAGTGGGAATAATAATAGTAAATTAGTAGATTTTATTACAAACAAAATAATATATAAAAAATACAGAGTACCTGCTGCATTCCAATGGCTAAATAAGTTTTCCTCATTATTGTCATCATGATTATTAACCACAGTTATCATCAGTCATAAGTTGCTTTACCACTGAAATAAACTAACTTTCTGGTCAGTGACATAGCAGGTCTTTACTTGGTAGAAGATTGGCTCAAAACAGATAACTGAGCAAATGAATGTACCATTCTTCCCACTCAGAGTTGCATAATCAAACATAAAAAATATTTTCATAAAAGAATGAATCAGCTGCCATTTCTAGTAATATTGGTTTGGATAATTAGAACCAAACTTTCCGATAAATGCTACTGAAAAAATACAGAAATTCTTAAAAACATTAAAGAAGTAAAAACAAGATAGAGCGGAGTGACTGAACTCTATAGGAAGCATGAAGCCAGGGGTAAAAAATTTAAAAATAAATAAATAAAAAATAAAGTAAACACAAAGCCAGAGAGAAGCGTTGAGAATATCTGCCTATCTAACCTATCAACTAAAAACCTGAACGTGGGGTATATAACAACTTACCATGGAAGTGAGACAAAAGGGAAAGCTTTGCTGTGGAACCAAGCTGGGGTGCTGGAGTCCCTAAAAGACTCATCCCCCTGATGAGGATGAGCACAAAAGTAAACCAAGTCCTTGCGCAGACTTGAAGTCAGATGTCACATTTTCTGCACAATAGAGAGAGCCTTGGGCTAAGAAGATGAACTAAGGCAATCCCAGACACACTTCCTCTAACGCGCCAGCAAAATAAGACAAAACCATTTTCAGAAAAATATTCTAATCTCCTAGGCCTCAAATTATTCTTGTGAGGACAAAAGACAATGACAGTTGTCAATGCTTCCTCTAAAAATAATTTAGAGCAACAAGAAGAACAAATAAAACTACTGAACACATGCCGTTGGCAGACAGGAAGGAAGGACGGAAGGAAGGAAGGAAGGAAGGAAGGAAGGAAGGACAGGAAGGAAGGAAGGAAGGAAGGAAGGAAGGCAGGCCAGCTAAAACCTAGGGACAGAACTGTTACACTCCTACCCACTTTAAAGTAAGCAAGAGCAAGCTGGAAAAAATAAGAGAAAGAGAGGAGAATGAGTGAGGTGCTAAGGTTGACCTTAAAAACCCAGAAAGTGTAAGTTACACTAAGTGTGAAAATCCTTAAAAAGTGTCCCAGTAGGCCTGAGCAGGGACTACAGAAAAGTGGTATAAAAGCATGCCCAATATGAAGTGACAGGCCTCCAAAAGCATAGTTACAATGGAAGAGAAAGGAGTTAATATAAAGTGAAAGACAACCTGTTCAATCGAGAGGAACATAAAAAAGACGCAAAAAGGAAAATTCAAGGTTGCCAAAGATAAAGCACAACTAAAACATTAGAGGATTTACAAAGCCATTCTCTAATCCATACCAAAAATAAATAAATGAACCACTAAAGTGTGCATTGCTACGCTAACAGAAGACGGCACCAGAGACTAAGGAAGTCTTTTTTTTTTTTTTTTTTTTTAATACTTTAAGTTCTAGGGTACATGAGCATAACGTGCAGGTTTGGTTACATATGTATACATATGCCATGTTGCGTGTCTGCACCTGCTTACTGTCATTTACATTAGGTTATATCTCTAATGCTATCCTCCTACCTCCCCCACCACACAACAAGCCCACAGTGTATGATGTTCCCCACTCTGTGGTCCAAGTGATCTTCATTGTTCCAGTTCGCTTACCCTATGAGTGAGAACATGTGGTGTTTGGTTTTCTGTCCTTGGGACGTTTGTGAGAAATGATGGTTTCCAGCTTCATCCATGTTTCCTGACAAAGGACATGCACTCATCCTTTTTTATGGCTGCATAGTATTCCATGGATATATATGCCACATTTTCTAACACAGTCTATCATGATGGACATTGGATTGGTTCCAAGTCTTTGGCTATTGTGAATAGTGTTGGCAATAACATATGTGTGCATGTGTCTTAGAGCAGCATGATTTATAATCCTTTGGGTATATGCCCAGTAATGGGATGGCTAGTCAAATGGTATTTCTAGTTCTAGATCCTTGAGGAATCACCACACTGTGTCTTTCATAATGGTTGAACTAGTTTAACCCCACCACAGTGTAAAAGTGTTTCTATTTCTCCCACATCCTCTCCAGCACTGTTGTTCCTTGACTTTTTAATGATCGCCATTCTAACTGGTGTGAGATGGTATCTCCATTGTGGTTTTGATTTGCATTTCTCCTGATGGCCAGTGATGATGAGCATTTTTTCATGTGTCTGTTGGCTGCATAAATGTCTTCTTTTGAGAAGTGTCTGTTCATATCCCTTTGCCCATTTTTTGATGAGGTTGTTTGATTTTTTCTTGTAATTTGTTTAAGTTCTTTGTAGATTCTGGATATTAGCCCTTTGCAGAAGGGGTAGATTGCAAAAATGTTTTCCCATTCTGTAGGTTGCTTGTTCACTCTGATGGTAGTTTCTTTTGCTGTGCAGAAGTTCTTTAGCTTAATTAGATCCCATTTGTAAATTTGGCTTTTTTACCACTGCTTTTGGTGTTTTAGTCATGAAGTCTTCCCATGCCTATGGCCTGAATGGTACTGCCTATAAATCTTTTACACAACCAAAAAGGAACAACAAATAAATTCAATAAAAATATAGAAAATTAGTACTCAAAAATCAGAAAGTCAATTCAAAGGAGCTCAACTGATGAAAATCTAACTTTTCTCCCACCCCCCCAAAAAAACCAAAGAGCACTAAAAAGAAACATAAACTAACACTTAAAAACTAAGTTACATATGTTCAATCAAGCATATAAGGATATAAATTGCTTTAGTCAGAAACTCAAAAATTAAGAACAAAAAGAGAGAAAAAAAATGAAAAGATAACTGATTTAACTCAGAAAAATAAATAAATAAATAAATAAAATCATCTCAGAAACAAAGTTTAAATTCCAAAGCATTCAAGGGACAATGGACTCAATCAAGATTTAATAAGGGGGCACTGAAGACAAGGAGAAAAACAACCAGAAGGAGGATGGTAAAATAAAAAAAGAAGAATCAGAGAGAAAGTGGTAGAAATGGAACACAGGCAAAGAAGGAATTACATTTATATAATTGGAGTCCGTTAAAGAGGGAAGAAAAACCAATGCAGCAGAACTAATACCAGATAAAATAGGTACCTGTGAAAAAGAACCTGGAAGGATCAAATATAGGACACATCCACAAACAATGGGGAAAATCATCAAGACCTCTAGGCAAGAAGATCAACTAATGTAGAGGGGTAAAGCAATCAGAATGGCATCAGATTCTTCAAAAACAACACAGAAACAAGACAACAATGAAGCTACATTTTCAAACAACTCAGTTTTTAAAAATGTGGACCAAGAAGTTTATATCCATCAATACTGTCCTTAAAGCACCAAGTCTACAGAAAAAACTTGAAACACACAAGAGCATAACGAATGTCACATTAATGAGCTCTTTCTAAAGGATTTACCAAAGCATGAGCCTTGTTCAAGTAATAAATAACTAGGAAAATTTAAGCACAAAACAAATCGAGAACATGTTAATACATAAACATTGTAGATTTCAGACTAAAAGCTGGGGATTACATTGATAGACTATTATCCAATAGTTGTATGTTCTGACAAAGTAGAAATAACACAGCTAAAAAATGAAAGAAAGAAGCAAAGAGGAAAGTAGAATATATTAATTATTGCATAGGCAATAGTTAAAGAATACTTTTACGACAAACTAGACAGAACAAAGTTAAATATGAGGAATAAGGGAATTTAAAAGTTTTAAGAATAAAAGCAACCATTAAAACAAAAATATAACCTTTCTAAAGAGCGATAAAAATTTCAATTCAAAAGCATAATAAAACATATTTTGTAGAGAAATAAAATATAACATGTTACGACACACATAACACCACAATATATGATAGAGTTGAGATCAAATATATCAGTAACTCAGTAAATCTGAAAGTCTTATCAATAAATATGAACAGGTTTAATTTACCTCTTGAAAAAAAAAATCTGGCCACAAAGCATTACTCAGCTGTACAAAAGATACACCTAAAACACTGTTAAAAACAAATGGATGGACAGAATAAAACAGGCAAATGGATACAATAAAAAAGCAAGCGTAGCATTCTTAAAATCAGAAAAAGTAGAATTCAAGCAAAAAAGCACTGAGCAAGACAAAGAAGATCTTGTATTAATGCTAAGTTTCAAATCACAATGAAGGTATAATACTTATGAATAGCTATACATCAATAAGACAATAATTACCTTTGTGTAGAAAGAACCATAAGGGATGCAGAAGACACACATACAAACACATTAATATTAGTAATAGGAAACTTTAATACGCCATTCTTAGTATAAGATCAAATGTGCAAAATTAACAACATAAAAGACC